TACACGTGTGATATTATTTGCAAGTAACAGCTTGATAATACGGTATCGGGTTACTCGGTCTCATCCGCCTGAAATCACAAGGACGACAATGGGCGTAGAATTTCTTAATCTCCGGAGAGAGGTCGTCGCGCGCGCGCGCATTTAATAATTAATCGGCTTTCCCCATGAAGAACTGGTGCAGCGCATTCAGAGCGAACTGTTATACGAGCTTTATTCGCGTTTCAGGTGAATCGCGAGCGTACACAAAGCCGAGGGGGAGTCCCACGGTTAGGTTGAATTCGCGATGAGCAGCCCGCTTTGACCATGCCCCACATTGAAGATACGAGAATGCCGTAGTGCGACAGTCATTAGAGGGTACATCAGGACTTCATTTAGTCAACAAACCCGGTATAACGTTTACTCGTGACTTTAGGTTAATGCAGGCCCATAAAACGGAGCCTTTTCGGATTTTAGAAGCTGCTTTTTTTTTACGACGACGCGCTTGCTTTTACGACGAATTCGCGCGGTGGGTCAACGAAAAGCGCCTAAACTATTCCGTTCGTTCCCGTATTTTCGTTCTCTCGCCCTTTTTCTCCTCGTTTTCTTTTTTTTTTCTACGTCGACTAAAATGACCCGCCATCCTCTCGCGAATTAATAGAAGTACACGCCGTTCACGGAACAAACATCTTTTCGTCTATCGATAAGAGCTTCGTCTATCAATAAGCTCAGAATAACAGGTCTCTGTATATTTTAACGGAAATATCCTTTTTTCCCGTTTTACGAAAATAGTGCGCGAAATAGTGTGCTAGTCGGGATGTTTGCGTCTACGACATCGAGGATAACTCGTTCATGCTTGTGCGTCTTCGTGCACACCGAATTGCGAATCGCAAAATACTTAAATCCCGCATACAAGGGCAGCCACTTACTGGAACACCGTAATTCGCATTTTACATGCATTGAATTGCAAATATACCGAGCGCGAGCTAAAATTTGTCATTCGTGTTTTATGTAATAGAACCCGCCTTAACTAATACGGGGAGTTATGGCTTGCTCCTAAACTTATATTATTATACCGATTCTGTCCAAATGATATTCCCTCAAGAGATCCAATAGTAGTAGCGGATGTTAAACAAGTTTATGTCCTAAAATAACGTTTCCGGCAGTGTCATCAATTGAACCATCTCAGTCGCGATAGCAATTTTATCGTTCTCACGTGATTTTTTTCTAAAAGTTCGTTCTCTTTCATCGATTTTCTTCCCGGAATGATTGTAATCATCATCAAACGCGAAGTACGTCCCATTAAAGCTGATGGCAAGCAGACGTTCGCGTAACGAGAATGCGGTTAAGAAGTGATAATTAAAAGGAATATTAGCGGCACATTCGCTCGAAAGTTCTCACCGAAGATTCCAACCTCTAAGGTTAGTTTAATCACTCCTATTATAGAAAGGAATTCCTTAACATTCCGCGAAGAGAGGCGTAACCGTTTCACTGGCTATTTTAATAATGAAATTACCGGTTTCGCCATTTTCTTCCGTCCACAGAGAAAATTTGCAATTCGCTCGTCCGCAACGACTTCCGCTAAAGTATTCCAAAATTAATTATATAAATCAGGGAGGTACGATGCCTTTAATATTCATTCTATAACTTTCAACGAAATTTGATGTCGCCGACATTGTCGGCAAGCTAACTTTCGTGATAATTATTACATTGCGCAACTTGAAGCTCAAGCCTGTCGCGAATATTAATTTTTACCCGTAATTCCTATTAACATTTATAACTGTAACTACATCAGGATAATCGTACTGAGAGAGAAACTGTAGTCGCGGAATGTGTACATTATCAAGGAATCGAAATTAATCGAAAATACGATTTATCAGAATTTAGGGATAATTGATAGTTATTTTAAAATGTACATAAAATAATTTTGCATTTTGTTTGTGGTATCAAGAATACACTAAGCCATCAAGCGCTGTATCTCAATCCCTGAATCTACAGATCCTTGAAAATGAAGGTCCTTGTTTCTACAAATCTATGCGATTTCTAATGATCGCTTTTATAGATTTATTCCGAAGATCTTTGTTACTGCAAGCTTTATAAATTTATATCACTGGTCCTTGATATTCTACATGTTTCCGAGAGCCTAATCTTTTAATTCGACATCTTGGAATCGACGGATCGTTAATGGCAATTTAGATTATTATTCACGATCTATTAGAATTTGCGTTATATATATATGTAGATTCCAAAGAAATTATGAAAAGATTTCTAAAAGCATTATAAAATATATTGTTAGTTTTTACTCGTAGAAAGAAGAGATGTATAAAAATCGAGCATCACGAAGGAGCGAAAAGTAAAGAGAAAAGCCGCGGAACAAGAAAGGTTTCTTTATATTCGCACTGTTGATCCTTTGCGAATCTTTGCACGCTAATTTCATTTCTCATGGCAATGTCGCGTCGGCTGACAAGTTTCTCCTTGCTCCGCGTATAAAGTTCAAGCGCAAGGAAGTTCGACGATAAATTCCGCACAAGGAGATACCATGGGACTCCCGGATCCGTGATTCTTAAACTCTAACGATATCGTCGGCGTCGCGTTAAAATTTATGAGCTGGAATCCGTGCCGAAAAGTACAACGGTTATTTTAAGCAACGAACGTCCGTATCGCGTCGCATTTGGACAAGATGATTCTTATCATCACGACCGCGCGAAATATAATCAGTCAGGACTTTATGAGATACACACATGGGAGAAGAACATGGTGTATATATCAAATATATCCAGTATATTATATATATTTAAAAAATATATAATACATATTGTATATTTAATATATATCCATGTAAAAGATATATTAAAAAAAGAGATTTGTCTTCTAAAAATCCTCACCACCTCTTTTCATCAACAAGTTAGATAAACATAATTGTATTATTCCACAGCGTAATACGAAACGCTGTATGTATAATATTGAAACTTTTCAAATTTGGCACCTCGCATGTGTCAAAATAACACGTACAGAGATAACGAGATAAGCGGGAATCTGCCCGCGTTGCGTTATGTTGTTAAAACGGAATATGTGTAAAATAATGCGAAGCGCAAAACGCCCGCTAGGATAGTAACGTTATCCCTTTTGTACATTTGTTCCATTTACACCCATCACGTTTCATGAACGGAATATGTAACGGTGACGGGGCTTGCTACCAAGCGTTTATATACGACCGGAAGACACGCTTATGTATAAAAAAAAAGAATATATACCGTAACGAAGCATAGAGAATAGACGGCTTTGTACCGGTGAGATTATAACATCGTAAATATAGCGCATTAAAGTGTACTCACCATGTGTTTCTTACAAATAACGAGTTCATTAAGTAAATATGCATGCACACACACACACACACATATATATATGTGTAAATTGTATATTTATATTGAGACAATGTAAAATTGAAAAGGTCACTCGGATCAATCCATTTTAATTAATAAAAAGAAAGAAGGGTTGTGTGTGTGTATATGAAAAATATCATCATACGGATAATCGTGTTGAGTTCTGCTTTGAGATAAGGACGCAAAAGGTCAAGCCAGATCTGCGCGACTGTAATGTGCAATGGGGAAACATTTTTCATTTTCCTCCGTTATATTGAGAGACGTTATACGTTTTCGCAATACGTACGACATTATTCTCGACACTGCCGTGTTACCGAGGACATCCGTAATTAATTGAAATGTGTATTTAATGACCGAGTCTGAACGCGCTCTGTTCGCGATCATTCATCAGCCTTTACGCGTTTTACAATCGCGACGGGATATGCAGCTTTACTGTGCTCGTGTACACGTGCGTAAGCTCGCGCGCGTTTCATCGTCGCAAAATGAGCAAGCTTCGAAGCTTGGGAATCGATATTCGAGCTGAGCTTCCGCTTACAAACGCGTCGATTCTTGTTTCCACAAAGCTGACCCTTTCCGTCCCAAATGTCGCTATTCGAGAAGAAATATCTTCGATACGTTTCTCCACTTATCTGTCTTTAAAGTAGCGCACCTTGCGATACAAATAAAAATATAATAAAGTCCAAAAGAAATGATAAACAGATGTGCTCCTACGCAAAATTTCCTTCTACATTTTTATCACGATTTAATTGGAAAACATTCAAATTGGAGATTTCAACACGATATTTGATATATTATGCGAGAAAGACATGAATATACAATAATATAATTTAACAGTTCTCGCGATTATCAATAGAACCGAAATTGAGAGAGTTGAATTGCTCGAGGCTATGTATTGTAGCGAGGCATGTCAATCACTAATTAACCTGTATTTTCCATCAAATTGAGTCTGATACTATACAGCGTATGAACAAATTTATTATTTAGATTTGACAGCTGTTGTATAGAATATAACGTTAATTATTTAATTTCATTACGATCAAGTTTTATTTGTAGTCAAGGTTTGTGGTGGCGTTACTTCTCCCTCATCAACTTTTCGATATATTATATTTTGATACTTTTTCTCGTTCACTTTCTTGGACAGAATGCAGGATATGCGAGGACATTACGCTCTTAATAATTCACATATTTTAAAGGCCAAACTAAGAAAAATGGCAGTTGTTTTAAAGTAAGTTGTTTTAAAGTTGAGTCATCTACAGCACCCAAGTGATAAACATTCAAGATTCGAAAAGTTCTGGAGTATTACGCTTCCAGGCATAAATAAACAATGAAGTCTTATTGACCAGAAAATTTGAAATAAACTTGACTCGAATTGGACCAAGGCACTGCGAAGCGTATAAGTCTAATTATTAATAAAATGAAAAAGTTCTGGCAAACAATGGCTTTCAATTAAATTTACGTAGAAAAAAAAGTCGACAGTAAATTGCTCAAAGAATCCTTAGCTTAAATTGCGTTCTTAGACGCTGCTCAGGGAAAAACAAGAAAATAGCGATGGATAGCGAGTTAAGTAATTCCTACGCAGATCCTGCTGTTGTCTCGAATAATGAACGATAATAATAACGATAATGATGTTAACAAACTCACCGAACCTGAAGAAGCGTAGACCGCGATGTATTCCCGCTGAAACAAATAATTTTATGTATTTATTATCCTACATAATGATACATTACACGATTGTGTTGCAACGAATTCGTTAAAATTATATAACGCGTTTATTATTTATCTTCACTGGTGATAATATTTAATATTTTCTCTCATTACTTTACATAGATATTGCTCTTTTAGCGCAATTTATATTCTCTTGGTCTCTTAATACAAAGAGATTTTTCAAGCACACGGATTCTCACAAAGAGACACACGTTAGAGACGCACGGTACAGTTTTAAGTGAATTTACTCACCAGCCGTAGTCCATAGCTGCTCCTCTGGCGCCTTTCCGCTCGTTTCTCCGATATCGCACTCACCCTCAGAATGTTCACTTCGCGTCACATCGCACTACGACTGATCGGGAAAAAAAATGCGGTTAATTACGGCTGCGGTCGTTAATTACGATCGTTAAGCGACGCGCCGCACGATCGCGGCGACACTTCGTTCTCGGCACCGCACGATTCGTACGATTCACTTTCGGCGAGAAAAATGTGCGAATATATACGAGATACTTTGCTTCGCTACGACACGACCGACCCGACGTAGCGCGCAAACCGAAATGATGCTAATGGCGTCGTGACCAATGTCAGCGACCTTCAGACACAATGACTGAAAGTCAAACCGCCCTTTGCCACTGATCAACAACCGCATCGGCGTTATTGATGTAAACAATGACTGTTTTTTGCCACGTTCGCCTTGCGAAATCGGTTAACGCCCAACTATGTGTGTACTTCTTGCGATGCTACGCAAAAACGTGTGTGTGTGTGTATATGTGCGCGCATCTAACGTTCTCGCGAATATTCTCAAGAAATTCTATAATTACGTTCACGTACCTCGCATATTAACATTGCGCGCGTAACATACGACGCTCCATTAGACGTGCGAAGCATTTAGGATATTCGGATCGATTTGGGACACTCGGATCGCAATTAGATGTAAACTATTCGCGCAGCTCGCGTCGTATCGTCGTCGATCACGTTGCACAGATACATCCGCAATGGCGTCACATACGTCTGATTCGTCCACACGACTTCGGCGACGATAACTCGCGCGAGAGATACGAGACAACTTCGCGCCGCTTTCGGCTCGACCAATCCGACACGACCTGCAAATTGTAATGATAATGTTGGTCTTATGCTTACGAGTCGAACGCAAACTTCACATACTGTGAGCCGAAGTCAAAACGCGTTTCTATTTTCTAACAGCTAATCGCTCCATCTTTTGCTTTATCATCTTCGACATTGTCATCGTTTGACCGTTATGATCAGTAATTATCGCTTACGCCGTATCGACGACATCAGTGAACGAACGACATACATTTATACGCTCGTGATTTATACGTTGTGTGTGTGTGTGTGTGTGTGTGTGTGTGTGTGTGTGTGTGTGTGTGTGTGTGTGTGTGTGTGTGTGTGTGTGTGTGTGTGTGTGTGTATTCTCAAAACATTCTAGCTATAACACGTACCTTGTATAATTAACGTTATCTGCGCGATACATGATGCCTCATTAGACTCGCGAAGCAATTAAGATATTCGGATCGCAATTAGACAAGATTCGCGTCGCACCTTCGATCGCGCGACGCCTCGTCGGCAGCGCCGCCCTATGCGGCCGAATCGTTCGCGCGATCTGTCCACTTTAGATAAAGATAGAGCTTAAAGGGTACGAGGCCACTCTTCGCTCCCCTCCCCACTCGACCGCTGTGGCGCGCGACGCGTAACTACGGTGTTTTGATACATGCTCGTCGTAGTCGGACGTAACCTTCAAACACAATGGAGTAAAATCACTACGCCGTATACGTTTTCTATCTGCTTCACCTTCCTCATTGTTTACGAGTTAAGCTGTATGTACGTACGTACCGTTGATCACTGCCTCGTCCCATATCGCTTGGCCGAAACAAACGAGCAACCTGTGCTCGTGCATCCGTGATTACTTGTGTGTGTGTGTGTGTAAGCGTGTGCACGAGTGTTTTCAAGAAATTCTAATTACGATCACGTATTCTAGCGTATTAACATTACATGTGTAATATACGATGCTCCGTTAGACGTGCAAAGCATTCGGGATATCCGGATCGCAATTAGTAGATGCGCTTGTCGTATCCCTTAGTCCGAGTGAGATACGCGTCGTATTATCCGCGCTGACGTTTTATTCGTCAGAAAGCGCATCGCGCGTCCAATCGGGCATGAAAAATGAACCGACCGGTCGTTACTACGGAGCAATATGCGCGATACGCGTAATATCTGTTTGCTTTTTCACAATGCTTATAACGCCGCTTATACCTGAGTCCGGTTCTTTTCAGCTGCACTTTCTGTACTACTTTTTCAGTGAAAAGGGAGCACTCTCTATGCTCCTTTTTCGCAAACTTTCAAGTACATACCTATTTAGCTTTAAGTACAGAAAGTGTAACACGGTACAGCTAGAAAGTACAAGCTTCATGTTACTCCTAATCGAGAACGAAGTGAAGTTGCACAGCGTCCTTTTCGCGTTGAAGAGTCAGCTCCTCTCCAAGATTAACCTTGCTTTAATTGCTTCTCTGTTACTTTCTACATTTATCTTTGGAGGTGGTTTGGAGACGGACGGACAGTCGAGCCAGGTTTGAAAATAATCACTGTCGAGAGAATCGGTTATTTAGCCTCCAAAAGCGAATTGGATGCGAAAACGGAAATCGGGAGTGCCGAACAATGAGCGCGATTCTTCTAGAATGCTAATTACAGCGAATAGTCGCCATATTCTTTGTCGAGTACACTGTCGAGTATTATATAATTCGAAAGTATCGTCGACGTGGTGTATCGTGAAATCTAAATTACAGAAGGATGAAATAACCATACGAATAAGAATCCTATATAAATAATTCTCCTCCTGTGATTTCGAATTATCATTTGATATCAAGTATAAATATTAATTATTATAAATATTGGTTTTAGAAATGATGGTAGGTCGAGAGAGAAAGAAAGAGAGAGAGAGGATTCGAGGGGACAATCTTCAACATTTTTGACTGATGATGATGTTTATGGTCTTCAATGTAGTGAGTCAAATATTTTGATAATTAATTATTGGAAAATTTGTTTACATATACATAGACACACACATATACACGTATATGGTATATAATATAAAATTTCCCTAAAATAAAAACTAAAATATATTTATACTTTTTGTATTTTTCATTATTTTAAATATAATATGCAATTTACTTTACTTTATTACGAAACGAGAACAGGTCAATGAAAATAATTATCCAGTGCGTTTGAGAGAATTAATTAGCATAAATATTAATAAAATATGAACTTTTTACGTTTGTACAAGAACGTGATATTTGCTAAAGATTTAATTATATGTTAGATTTAATAATATGAAAAGATGTCACAATATATATTATAGATTATTAATATTACTCACATTTATAAGCCAAGTTTGGACATTAAAACAGATTTTAACATAAGTATTAATAATTTTATCGAGAGATATGGCAACATTTTTCACGAGAATAATTTTAATGATTGTACTGGTGGTTACAAGCCGTCCTGTCAGTAATAATATTTTTATAATGAAAATATAAATGTATGTGTGCGTGTTTACGCGTATATTATACAAAAAATTCCGTAATAACAACGCATATGCGTACATAGAATAAAAAAATATAACGAAATATTACTATGCGCGCAGTTATTTACAAAGGTTTATAGATAACTGCGCGTAAATGGGACAACTCGTATTAAAGTTATTTGAAACTCGTGTTATTATATACAGTTGAATTCGTTTCACGTTACTGTTATATATATATATATATATATTTTTTTTTTTATAGAAAAAGTAGGTCGCTGTTTTGAAAAATAAAAAACAGTTTTTAAAATCTAAAAAATTGTGATGGATAAATAAAAGTTTATTTGTACATTACGTGCCTGTTGTTGGGCTATGCAATTTTTATTTGCGAAACATTTTTCGATAAAATCGATATTTATGAAGGCTATAGTGTATGTGAAAAATTTAAATCCGATAAATTTATGCGTCGGTATCACATATCAATGCGGCCATTTATTATTTCTGTATCTATATATATATATATATATACATCTCATTAATGACGACGATATATATATCCTCGTCGTCATTAATGAGATGCGATAACATGATTGTCGTTTGTTATTAAGTGGCTTACTGTTACCTCCAAGTTGTTATTAATTATTTTCTCATTCGATTTTGATACTTTCCCTCAAATTCATGTATCGTTGATTCACGGACTACTAAAACCTGACTAAATGAATTCACGCGCAAAGACCACGGCGATATGCGTATCTTATGGAATCGTTGGCACGATATCACTGCTCTTTTATTAGCTGTAATGAACGCAATTAGGATCTCGCTATATTGGATTTTACGGATTTCATGCGGCGATTCGCATAAAATTAAAACATACCGTGCAACCCGCTACGGATATGCGAGGACGTTCGTTCCAATTAATTTCTAACGAGCTCTTGATTGGTAACGAAACCCTCATACCTGCATATCCGTTCTGGCGGGATGCAAATTTACATTAGGCGCCATAAAAACGATCCTTATTGATCTTTAAGTACGATAGCAGCTGTTGGAAATCGAGATTGGCGATTCCCTATCTTTTAACGTCTTTTCCTGTATTTTTTTTTTTTGGTGCTTCGTATCGTCCTTTGTAAGTCATATAGCAGATATTTAATTCAATATTTTCTCAGTGTTGGCATTCTATTTTTTACATATCACCGACGTGCTGTAAATTGCCTGAAACAAATTATCATTATTACGATCTCTAGAAAAAAGCAACAGTAGAAGGTGTAAAAGTTATTACCGATTTATATTATAAAATTATGAAAATTATTACACAGATTCTATATTTTATACATTACCGACGTGGTGCAAAATTATTTGAGACAAATTACCATTATTACTTTTAGAAAAAAAATAATAATAGAAATTGTAAAAAAGTTATTACCGGTTCATATTATAAAATTTGTGAAAATTATTACACAGATATTATAAAAAGTTATTAACTGCTTAATTATTATCGCCTGGCTTTTCCTCTTGAACGAACGTTCAAAGAGGAATTTTTGGATTAAAATTATTTTTTCATTAATACACAAGAGCGTTTTGTAAAACGCACGAAATTTATAAAACAAAGGCTTTCCAAGCGAAGTTCCGCATAGTTAGAAATTCATAACACAAAGCATGTGTGTTTTCCTCTTACATCGCTAAATTGAAAAAAATTCATGTAATTTGAAGAGATCTCCGCGAGCTGGTAACTCGCGTAGCATCTCTCTTGTTCATATCATAACGACCAGAACGGATGAATGAGATGAATCCAAGGAACAAGATTACCATCCGAAATCCATTCTATCAAATAAGCGTCAATTCGTTGAAAACACAACGCTTCACTGAATGGAATTCCGTTGTACGTAGAAAGCACGAACGAGTTCGATCGATACGTCAATGCGGTATGAATCACGCTTTCGACGCTGCAAATTACCGGCATACGGAAACGTCCGAAATATTTCACCCTCTTCGCGCGGCGATTTCTCCCGATTGTTTTGCGCACTCCTTGTTACTTGCGCACTATACACCATTTCAGTAATAGCCTCGTCACCGACAATCCATTTTTTCCGATAAATTTCCATTTTGCACGACGACGAACGCGACGCGACCAATACAGGATATTACAGGACTGCCGCGCTCGCTCTAAATTTGCGAATTGTCCCGGCTCGTGGAAAATTTATAAAAAGGAATCCCGAGTATCGAATCACACAGCCGAGTGAGTGCAGATCGACCTGCACGCTTGGAATAGCCGCATAACGCGCGAGATATCGAACTTTCGGAAATCTTTCCGCTCGTTCGGGAATTTCGACCGGTTCGGGAGTTCTCCCGAAGTCCGCGAGACCCGATCGCAAATTCAAATTGAAATCAGCCAGAAACGTGGTGGATGCGTCTGAGATAAAATGATGCTAAACGGAGAAGCGGCTCCTACATTTTCCTCGATATCTGTTCTTCTGCTTTCTCTCCCGACAGTCCCGAACACGTCTGTCCAGCTCTCGAGGGTGACGAATGGCTAGAGCGTCTCCTCTTGATCCACGGCTGTCCCGAATAAGCAACATCGGGAGAGACGTGAGAGAGCAAGCTGGTTAAGTCCCGCGCTTGGTATAGAATCGCGCTCGCCCTGCCCGATCGCAATACTCGATTCCGCCGCTTCCTCGGATAGAAATCGCATCTTCGCAACGCGCGGCGTGTTCGCGCGGGGGTTCGATCCGGATTACGTCCGACTCGCCGCCGTGTAAACCAAGCAGGATCGGATTAGAACGGGGGGCTATTCCACACAGGCATTGAACGTAGCCGGCATTATACTAACGACGAGCGGTTACTTGATCCGCGCGACACTGTATATAAATGCCGATAACCCCCCCTCTTCGCGAAATTACCAACTCATTAAATCTAGATTAGCGCGGAATTAGCGCGGCCCGCTCCCGCGGCACGGTGGCGCGGTGGACGGCGGCGCGACGCTAAGTCCGACATTGAAACGCGATTTATTTGGAAAATCCGAAGCCAGGAGCAAGGAACGTGCTCGGCCACGGCAGCGTGTTAAATTCGCTGCGCGACCCGTTCCGCGTCTCGTCCGCGCGCGCGCGCGAAAATTGATACAAGGTTTCGCTATCGAGCCGACGATCGAGCCCTTCGGTTTAAGCAGACATGCACGTGCCACAGTGCGCGCTTTATTATCCACTGGAGATGCTTCACCCGGGGATGATGCAACACGCGGATGATGAACATCCGCGTTATCTCGGCGGTAAGCGCTGATAAGAAATACTGGTCGCTGTATAGCGGCTAATCTCCGCGAGATTAGCGGCAGATCGAAGAAAGGAAATAAAAAGAGGCATGCTTATCGAGCAGCGTCGATCGAGTGATTCGGCTTTTCGCGGTTGATCGGAATCCGCATGTCGACGGGATCCGCGACGCGGCGCGGCGCGGCGCGGCGCGGCGCACGATCGTGGAGAACGGCTCCGATCGGCGAGGCTTTCCGCGTCGTTTGATTCCCGCTTGACATTTCTTTCGGATCCGTCCGATAGCTCGCTCAGGTATTCTTAAACCGCCGGCACCGGCGTGCTCTTGCTATGCGCGCGACGTTGCGCGTGACGGACTACGAAAGGCAATATCTTCGGGATGCCGGCGGAATCCCTAAAACCCTCGCGGGTACCGGCGCCGAGAGTGAAACGAATTGCCAGCGCTGGGTGTTCTTGAACCCCGCGCCGGTATCGCGACGACAGGCGACAGGTGTTATCTCGTACCTTTTTCGCGCAACGCGCGTGACTATTAACGGCCGCGCGCCGATCGGCGATTTATGCTTGCGACTTGACGCGCTGCGGATTCCCTTGCTGCGAGGAACGCGACCTTATTTTTATTTCGGCTGAGCCTAACGCACACGGGGAAAAACTCGGCTCGTGTAACTGAATTTCCACGTTTCCCGGGGACCGAAACGGAAACGCAGCGGCGAGGAACAGCCCCTTTGTTGCCGCGACCGAAAACATTCGTCTGAACAACCGGCCGCGTTAGAATTCGGCTGAGATAACCGAGAACAATCGACCGAGTGAGAAATAAAAAAAACTCCCGTGTAGGGGTGTTTTTGTTTCTACAATCGAGTTTTCGTTGGGCCCCTCCCTCTCCTCCCCCCGAGGAGGAAATAGAAATTCAGTTACATGAGAGAAATTTTTCTTTCCGTGCGACTACACGGTTTAATGTCGCGTGAGGCTTAACTTTCATCTCTAGCGAAACATCCCTCGTCAAGCAGCGTTTTTCGGTCCATTGCTGTTTATCGTTAACGTATTGTCGCGCATCTTGGTGCGAAGTTACCGTCGTTGCGCGACAATGGAAAATGTGTGGAAATGCGCGATTCGCGGCGCTGGCACGCAAGCATTATCCGATAAATTACTTTATGAGTTAGCAGAGCCGAGGTAATCAGTGTGCTCGCATGAAGTTAAAGCGATATGCATGTATGTATAGGATGCGCGATAT